AATAAAACACCTGTGCGGCATCAGTACCTGTAGCTTTGCTGACAGCAGGATGATCAAATTTTTGTCCATTTAAATACCATATATACTTAAGCATACCGGGGCACCTCGAGGCGGTGTAATAGCAAGCATGCCTCGATAGAACAATTACTACTGAGTAGTGAATTCGATCCTCACTGGGTGCCCCATACTTTCGGCCATGGGCCACATCTAAGCTACGCTTGGAAAATCACTATACTTAAATATAGTGCGATTTATCAGTTTTCTATGCAAAAATCGGGGTTGCACTATACACAGGATTTTTTTTTTTTGAAGAGGTTAAAAATCATTCATTTTTGGTGATCGTTTGCATTATACAGATAAATTTTTTCTGGAGGGTTTAAAATCATGCATTTTCGGTGACTATAACCTACCTGGCATGCTTACATTCTCACAGTACCTTTGGCTAACGTTAACGCTGCAGGTAAGCTTCTTTAGCCTCCATCCCATAGCCAAGATTCGTTCTGTTGCAACATGAACAGCAGAACGTCATTCACTATGTGTGCCACTTAAAATCTACAAATACATTATATAAATGAAGAATGAACAATATTTGTTTACCTTTCTCCAATTTGCGTCTATCTTCGTTCTTATGTGTTTACATCGCTCCGGCATTGCTTTTCTAACAACGCCCCTTTTGTCTGGGGTTGGTGCATAATTATCAGGCGTTTTTGTAGGCGAGTTATTTAATAAAAATTACTGTTTTGTTTACTTCTTTTTTTAATAATATTATTATTCTATTTTCAGGTTATAAAAATGCGGGTCGATAATCATACGCTCCGGAATAATCATTTAAAAATGTTATTGCTGAATTGTTATGTTTCTTTTTTTCATAATAAATATTGTTTTAAAAACGCCTGATAATTATGCACCAACCTAATACGGTACATGTTTCAGTTATGTTCTTTATTCTGTCTTCATTTGTTTATTTATATTTATTATTTATTATATTCTTTACAATTATCGGTATTATTTTATCTTATAATTCTCCGTTACATAAAATACTTTGATAAGATGTACCGCAAATGATGATAAAACAGGGAGAAATAACAAATTAATTTTAATTCTGGTAGCTTTATTGACGGTATACACAGTAATATCTCTAAAGGCAGGATGTGTGTGTGTGTGAGTAACGAATGCACGGCCGCAATTTTTGACGGATTTGCACCAAAATTTACATGCACATGCTCCAAGTTAGTGGGAAGGCCAAGACCGACTTTGCATTTCCCAACTCCATCGATAGTGGAAATAATTGATTTTTTCATGCTTCTACGGCAGTTGTCATGTAGTTTGCGGCTATTTTCTACTGGCCAGAGTGAGAGCCTATAGCTGGCTGCCACGAATAGGCAGGAAGATTCTATTGGCCAGCATGAGAGCCAACAGTTGACTGACACGAATGTTAACTAGCATGCAAAAAAAAAAATCGATAGCTGCATTAGTCACAAGAGGGAAAAATTTAAATCTGCATGGCACTTTACTACAATTGGCTCATTCACTTGCTTAAAATCAACGTTGATTCTGATTCCGCAGAACTGGGTTGGACGTGAAAAAGTATTTGTTGTTAACATTCTTTTTTCATTCGATTTTTCCAGTTACGAGTCCTTTTTTAAAGCTGATCGTTTTGTGTTCAATTTGTTTAGTTCTTTTTTCGTAACAGATTTAATGTTTAGTATAGAGCTTAGGAAAAATTCGCAGTGTGAGATAGGCAAGAAGTAAGGCATGTAGCAACACCAGCACGGCAAAGTGCACTCCTTTAAAGGCAAGGAAGGGCAAAAATATTTTAAGTCAAGTGATAGCGATTGCTGTATGAGTCGTGCGATTTTTGAATCAAGCACGGGCAACGCCGGGCCATGCTGCTAGTTATCAATAGGAATCAACAAAATTGAGGAGCATCATAAAAGCCTATCTCACTAAATTATACACAAAGATATTTGCTTTGTCGCCCCGGAGCGTGAAATCGGAGAGGCGAGTTCGAATTTCAGTTACATTCACTTACATGCAAATACCCTTGGAAAAATTATGGATTCACTACTTCTCCCCTTCAACTATGGGTTAAATAGCAGAACGGATTGTAGCAGACGTAATGAACCGTAACCCGAGTCGAGGAGCGGAAGTCGCGAACGAGATTTTGCCGGCGTCTGGAAGTGAGAGAGTTCGTTTGGGGTATGGCATATAGGACTTCTATTTGAGAGAAGGTGAGTGCCTCATTCCGTCAAACGAGATCATCTTGGAGAAAAGAGTGAGTTCTTCCGGGGTGCATCGTAGGATACGTGCAGCTGTGATAGAACGAACGAACACAAAGCGGATACAAGGCAGAGAACGACGATAAATACCAAGAAACCGGTGTAGAATGGAGAAACACCCAATCTGAAATTGCGTCCGGCCACAGAGTCGCTAATTTCTTTTGATGTGGTCGATAGCCCTGGTTAGCAAACAGTCTATCACAACCTACTGCGGGAAAATCTTCTGCTTAGTCAGTCATGACTCGAGAGAAACTTAGTCGTCCAACCGTGTATCATAACGTATGTCATTAGACATACGTTATGATAACGTCGTTATCCATCCTTATACAAATAAGTAACACATCAGTTCTGTCGATAGTTCTAATTTTGTATTGTTTGGCACGTATACAACCTCATTTATCTCTGCTTTAGTGCGAATACCTTTTGGAGATTTGAAAAGATTGACGTGTTACGAAATTTAAAAATCTGTACGTCACGCTTATCTCCTGGCCCAAAATAGACATTACGTGGGTTACTACGGAAACATTGAGAATCGATCCTGGGAGCGTATAAAATGGAGCAGTAATGCTATTTCGGTTTCTTGGTAACGAAGCCGGGCCTTTTTTCATTGATTCATCCCTATAGAAAGATGTGTTAGCGTCTCCCAAAATGCAGCCTTCACAACAATGGCACATTTCATCGTCCTAAAAAAAAATCCCAAACACTTGTACATTTGAGGTAAGGACATTTTATACACAAACCTCAGTTGTACATTTCTTGCTTATTACTTGTTTGTTATAAATTGTTTTTTCTGTGTATGTCCCACTAAATGGTTCAGTCAGATTCACTGGTTGTATCCAATTTCGCATGATATGACTCTTTCCAAATTTGCTTTTTACGATTACTAGGATTAATGGAATTAATGTTAGCTGTAGATAGTAACATCACTTGTTCCTATCCAGCAGCATCATCATGTGGGTTTCTTTCAATGGTGTTTAGGGATTTACCTTTAAAAGTTTTAGCAAAGAAAAAAATAATGCCCGAAACAGAGGTCTACATGTGCGAAGAATTGGTTATTTTTCCATGGTGCCATTTCCTTCGTTTTTACATTATTTTTTTAAAATTCGTTTCCCCCCATGCAAGACAGAAAAGCCACTAGAACCCAAGGGATTATAGGGTGTGGAAGAATTAAGAAACAGAAACATCAATAATGAGCGGGAAGAGGAAAGAGTAATCAAGAGGACAGCGGATAGCGATTGTCATTGCATTTAAAATTTTGCAGATTAAAGTTGACTGGAAAGCATGGAGATGGAAAGGAGTTCCACAAGCGAGAAGTGCGAGGTAAGAAACTGTTAGCAAAGAATTTACGGTTACATCTAGGCAGCTCAGCTGTAAATTGATGAGATCTCCACGCCAGTCTAGTACTGTGCTTGAATTCAAAAAGTCCAGGTACCACAGTGAAGACCTCATCTGAACAATTACCATGAAAGTATTTCTAGAAAAGGCAGATGGAGCCAACCTTATAGCGGTGGGAAAGTGACTGAAGCCGAGCCGCCAGATCAGGACCAATAATATTGCTGATTTGGATTTTATCAAGGAGCTCAAGGTAAATAGTAGAGGCAAGGGATAATATGTGGCAACAATATTCAAAGCATGGACGAATGACAGACTTATAGATATCTAAGATAGATTCTGGAGATCAAAATTGTCTAGCACGACACAGTGAACCAACCTTTTTTGCAACTGATCTAGCAATGCATTCAATATCGCATTTCCACTTTATGTCAGCTGAGAACGTTACAACTTATTTCAATTGTTTGCATAACCAGTCGCATTGGCAAAATTCCTCTACAGAAGTGGAATTCGGTTTGCCAGCAGAAGATACCGTCACTTTTATAAAATCGATATAATGAATTTCGAAAGGAAGCCAACCGATTTGTTTCTCTTTGGCGTAACATTTACGCCATTTTACGTAGCTGAAATTTAAATAGAAAATAAAAAGAAGACACCGTGAAGCGTCGAACTTGGTTCCAATAATATTAACGATAATAAAGAAATAAAGAGAAAAAACTTGATACAAACTGAACACCAGGACTACGTTTGAGACAAGACATTGGTTTGAGGCAAGATTATAACGATGCAAGAACGCAATAAAATGGCGGAGTGTTTGATCACTTTGAAAAACGTATTGTGCGTGATCAAAGGCAGCACAAGAGCTTGAAATAAACAGAAAGAAGAACCCTGCTGAAAATGCCAATCGAAAAAGCAAAAAGGCAAGGATTCAATTTAGTAGTTCTGGCCAAATAGATTCACAAACATACATGTTAAGACAAGCTCAAGAATTACTGTTGGAAAGCAAAAATCACGCGAATGGCTGGCGAAGGGAAGAAAAAGGCTTGGTCTCTAAAAAAAATGCTTTTAAAGGAACAAAAGCAAGGTTATATCGTTTCACCTTTACTGTTTAGGGAGCTTTACGGCCATATCACGTTGAAACACCGTACGATCACCGAATTTAAGCAACGTAGACCCAGGTCAGTAACTAGGTTGGTGACCACCTGGAAATGCTAGGTGCTATCAACTTGAATGTGCGGGTGCGGTAATAAAGCTTTACGGTCATATCACGTTGAAACACCGTACGATCACCGAAGTTAAGCAACGTAGACCCAGGTCAGTATCTAGGTTGGTGACTACCTGGAAATGCTAGGTGCTATCAACTTGAATGTGCAGGTGGTGTAATAAGCTTTCGACCATATAACGTTGAAACACCAGAGCTAGTACGATCACTGAAGTTAAGCATCATCGAGCTTGGTCAATACTTAGATGGACGACCGCTTGGGAATATTAGGAGCTGTAATTATTTTTAATCGGAATCACCCCAAGCAAGATAGTAATACCACTAAAGCATAAAGGATTACAGGGATGTGGAAGTATTAGGAACAGGAACATTAATGATGAGCAGAAGAGGGTAATCAAGTGGATAGTAGATATCGATTGACATTGGATTTAAATTTTTGCAGATGACGCACAAATGTCCTTGGGAAAGGTATGGATCCACCTCTTTTCCCCCAACTACGGGTTAATTAGTAGGACTTGTCTTAGTAAATCATTACCTCCCCAAAATTCTTACAATTAAAAAAAGGTTTCTGGCTTTAAATAACCTGCAGAAGGTTGGTAAGTCGTACAACCAAAAAAAAATAAATAAATAAAAAAATACCGATCCACAGTTTTTACCAGTCAAGATTAACAACGAGACTCCATATTTTCAATGTCTACTGGGTCTCAAGTTCAATCCAGACCCCAAGAGGAACGCATGTAGACAATCCATTGCTAAAGATGCTGAAAAAATGCTCACACCAGAGAATTATCTCACATGTTTTATCTTTACAAGAGTCAGATGAGACTAAAATTGGACTATTACTGTCATATAGGTTCGCCTATCTTTCGTTTTACACTCCTCCCCAGTGTTTTGACCAGGAGTAGATGATGTATCCCTTGTTTCCTGCTTAGGATTGGGTTTCCGGTTCCTTTTAGTCTTCTTCATTCTCTTTCACTCCCAACAGTTCCTTGCATCTTAGTGGCATTATCGCCTTGCTTGAAGTGAATTAATTAAAAAAAATTCCTACAGCTGCTCAATCCTCCCATTCCAGCCTTGATAGGGTACAACATCGGTTACACAGTCTTAGAAGAGAAGACTTAATTTTCACTCAGCAGAATATTTCCCGCAGATGCAGCGCTGCAAGCCTGCCGCAGTCTATCGCTATTTCTATGGCAAATGTTCAGACGAGCTCCGTTCTTCTCAATTCTAATCATGTTACTTCTACGGAGTCGAATCACCCTTTTCTCCACATCCTGTATCATGCGATCAATATTGTCTGTTCTCTTCTACTCTCTGCTTTTTTTTCTTTTTTTAAAGTTAACGATTTACCTAGGCTCATTCTCGGATCATTAATAAACATCTACGCAGATGATACTCCTGTTTATGGATGCGCTTCCAAGAGGCAAAAATATTGGAACCTGGCAGCTGATCTCTCCTCTGTCCGAGCTGTCCTCTGACTTCGCCCTCCTCTAACCAAGCTCTCCACTGACCTAGCTCTCCTCTGACCTCGCTCTCTTGTGACTTTACTCTCCTCTTACCTCGCTGACCTAGCTCTCACCCGACCTAGTCCTACCCCTCGACTTCGCTCTCCTCTAACCTCACTCTCCTCTGACCTAGTTCTCCTCCGACCTCATTCTCCTCTGACCTAGTTCTACTCCTACCTCGCTCTCCTCTGACCTAGTTCTAATTCCTACCTTGCTCTCCTCTGACCTAGTTCTACTTATACCTTGCTCTCCTCTGACCTAGTTCTACTCCTACCTTGCTCTCCTCCTACATAGCTCTCCTCTGACCTCGTTTTCCTCTGTCCTCGCTCTCCTCTAACCTCGCTGACCTAGTCTCCTCCAAATTCGCTCTCCTCTGACCTCGCTCTCCTGACTTCGCTCTCCTCTAACCTCGCTCTCCTCTAACCTAGTTCTCCTCCAACCTAGCTCTCCTCGAACCTAACTCTCTCTCTCGATTTCGCTCTCCTCTGACCTCACTCTCCTCTAACCTAGCTCTACTCCTACCTTATTCTCCTCCTACATAGCTCTTCTCTGACCTCACTTTCCTCTGACCTCGCTCTCCTCTAACCTCGCTGACCTAGCTCTCCTCCAACTTTGCTCTCCTCTGACCTCGCTCTCCTGACTTCGCTCTCTTCTAACCTCGCTCTCCTCTAACCTAGCTCTCCTCCGACGTAGCTCTACATCGACTTCGCTCTCCTCTGACCTCGCTCTCCTCTGACCTCGTTCTCTTCTGACCTCGCTCTCTGACCTCGCTCGTCTCTGACCTCGCTCGTCTCTGACCTCGCTCGTCTCTGACCTCGCTCTCTTCTGAACTCGTTCTCTTCCGACCTCGCCGTCTCTGACCTCGCTCGTCTCTGACCTCGCTCTCTTCTGAACTCGTTCTCTTCCGACCTCGCCGTCCTCTGATCTCGCTTTCACACCTCAATACGGAAAAAATGGCTTGTAACTTGCAATATCTCAAAATCTAAGATAGTATAATTTTGTCATTCCCTATTCAGACGCTGAATTTTTCCATTGATGGCTTACGAGCATAACATTTTGAAATTCCAATTCTCGTACGATCGCTGAAGTTAAGCAACGTCGATCCTGGTCAGTACCTTGTAAATACAAGGTATTGGAAGCTTGAATGTGCGGATAGTGTAATGGATAACGGATCGGCATTGGAGAGACGAGTTCGAATTCAGGTCGGGTTCGTTACATTCATATATGCGCAAATACCCTTGAGAGAGGCATGAATCCACCACTTCTTCCACCAGCTATGAGTTAATTAGTAGGAATTGTATCAGTAAATCTTTATTATCCAAAACAAAATTCTGCACGTTGTCGGCGAATTTAGTCATCAACGCCATCATCATAAAGGAGGCGATCAGCAAAGAAGAAATTAAATTCTTGGATACGAGATAAAGCTGCTGCCGACGACGTCGACGGCACGGTGTTAGATTATTTCCGGCCGTTTTTCCTTATTGTCTACAAGAAATATCAATCCTTTGTATTTACAATGTGGTGTACATTTATAAGAGCAACTAAAGTTCAAACGTAGATTGAAATCAAGAGAATGTGTCGGCCAGATCAAAATGTCGTTGTGTTTTGTGTCCGGTAGACCGAAGGTCTTGTTCGAACTTTCAGTTGGCACCATCAATTTCTTCTGAACAAGGTAACAAAGCATCAGATAAAAGATGTTGATATTTGGCAACATTAAACTGATGAAGGCTATCGGTGTTTTTCCAAGTGGTTTAAAAGTTGGACGTTGGGGAGAGAATTGAAGAACTAACCTAAGATTCTGAAGGCGAAGAAAAGCACCATTTCTAACAAAACAATGTCCGAATTGGAATTGCGGCGTGAGATAGAAGCGGATCGGTCAGTCTTGGAGGACCTAGAAAAAATTAAAAAAATTCGGAAAGGTCAAATAATTTGGTAAGAAGAGATATTGTCCATAATAGAACATTAACTAGAATCAGCTGGAAAGTTGCTTAACTATTGAGAAGGCTTGCTGTCACATGATCTAAAGTAAAGGCCACTAGTTATTTCGTGTGAACAAATCATAACTTAGCGAAGATACTCGCTTTTATTTCACTTTCAACTTTTGAACCCTTCCCCGACGCAGACGTTTATATACGAAAGTGACTTTTTCAGACATTGACGAATAAAAACGTGCAAAACACAACGGTCAAAAACCAACTGCAGACGTCGATCTTGATTCTTTTTATTCCCTTCTGAGCTTGAAACGAGCCCAATTGTCAACTCATACATCTGGTAGAGGTGTTAGCCACCGCTCGGGTACTTCAAGGTACCTCAGTTTCTTAGTCCATCTTGATTCTTTTTATACACTTCTGAGCTTGAAACGAGTCCAGTTGTCATCTCATACGTCTGGTAGAGGTGTTAGCCACCGCTCGGGTACTTCAAGGTACCTCAGTTTCTTAGTTGATCTTGATTCTTTTTATGTCTTTCTGAGCTCGAAACGAGACCAATTGTCAACTCATACGTCTGGTAAAGGTGTTAGCCACCGCTCGGGTACTTCAAGGTACCTCAGTTTCTTAGTCGATCTTGATTCTTTTTTATACCCTTCTGAGCTTGAAACGAGTCCAATTGTCAACTCATACATCTGGTAGAAGTGTTAGCCACCGCTCGGGTACTTCAAGGTACCTCAATTTCTTAGTCGATATTGATTCTTTTTATGTCTTTCTGAGCATGAAACGAATCCAATTGTCAATTCATACATCTGGAAGAGGTGTTAGCCACCGCTCGGGTACTTCAAGGTACCTCAGTTTCTTAGTCCATCTTGATTCTTTTTATACACTTCTGAGCTTGAAACGAGTCCAGTTGTCATCTCATACGTCTGGTAGAGGTGTTAGCCACCGCTCGGGTACTTCAAGGTACCTCAGTTTCTTAGTTGATCTTGATTCTTTTTATGTCTTTCTGAGCTCGAAACGAGACCAATTGTCAACTCATACGTCTGGTAGAGGTGTTAGCCACCGCTCGGGTACTTCAAGGTACCTCAGTTTCTTAGTCGATCTTGATTCTTTTTTATACCCTTCTGAGCTTGAAACGAGTCCAATTGTCAACTCATACATCTGGTAGAAGTGTTAGCCACCGCTCGGGTACTTCAAGGTACCTCAATTTCTTAGTCGATATTGATTCTTTTGATGTCTTTCTGAGCATGAAACGAATCCAATTGTCAATTCATACATCTGGAAGAGGTGTTAGCCACCGTTCGGGTACTTCAACGTACCTCAGCTTCTTAGTTACTATATTAAAAACAAATTAAAAAAAAATCGTTTGAAAATGAAACGTTTTTCCAAAAATAATAGTCGGGAAGGTGTTACATTTTGCCTCTGATATCTTCAGGACATTGGGATCATGGCTCTCGATAAATTCTTGACTTTTGTGTCTCTTAATATATATATAATTATATTCTCAGCATCCTTCTGTAGAACTGCATTTCTGTTGTTCCAGTTTCTTCTTCATCTGCGAGAAGATTGTCCAGCAATCACTGCCATATAGAAAAAGCCTCTGATATAGATTAATCTATTCCCTAAGATCAATCTGTCAAGAAGGGTAAGCCGCTTCTTGTTACATCACATTTTTTCCATTAAATACATCGATGCCTTCTTCGTCTAAGTTTTCACTATTCCCGTTTTTCTAGTTTATTCAATGAATAATCGTCATTATAGGTTTTGTCATTTTCGTCCGGAGTAAATAACGTCACTGTCATCTCTTGGACTTAAGCTGTCTCTATGGACATCTTTTTTCCCTCAT